CCTGCATGCCTGCCACCCCTAATGGCCACCTGCAGCTCATCAATTGCCTGGTGCACCCCAGAGGCCGCACTGCCTCTTTATATGACCCTAAGGATGGATGCTTCCCCACTGGGGATGCCTTCCTTTCCCCGGAAAGACTAAGCCAACTGGAGAGGCTGGGCATGGTTAAGGACACAATGCCCCTGCCACAGCTGCTGGAGCGGGCAAAGACAGTGCAGCTTATCTGGACTGAGGACCGTGCCCAGGGCTGCCAGAGGGCTGCCTGCATCCTTGAGCTGCTTCGGGATGCAGTGGAGGAGAGGGTGAACAACACCACGCAGGCAGCTTTCCAGACTGTTCCCTTCCTCCCTGGTACACTGCCCACTGGCGAACATGTGCTGTTGCCAGCTGCCCAGCTCTACCATCACCTCCATGCCCCACTAGTGGGACTCATCCACCCTATCTTGGCTCCTAAAGTGCTGGGAGAAAACTTCAGCCTCCCCAAGGAAGTTGCATCCTTCCTGGGGCTGGACCGGCAGCTACCAGCAGCTACAGTCCTTGAGCAGCTGCAGGCACTGAGATGTAGCTCCAATGCTCTCCCTTTGGAGAACCTGCAGGACAGCACCAACTGCTGCTACAGGTACCTGCACAAGCTGCTCCGGAGAGATCACGCCAGCTGGGTTGAGGTGGCTTCTGCAGTGGCCCAAGGGGAGCCCTTCATCTTGGTGGGCTCCCGCTTTGTGCCGGTCATGGCTGTGGCTGAGACGCTGTCATTTGAGGCTGTCCCATATCTTCACCAGCTCCCAGAGCAGTACCGGCCCTACAGCCAACTCTGGGATTGCGTGGGGCTGCGCCACACATTCACCTGGGATGATTATGCCCAAGTGCTCTGCATCCTGGCAGAGATGCATGCTGGAGAGCCACTGCCTGCTGCAGAGCTGGCTCTGGCCTTGCGGCTGGTGTCTTGTGGCTTGATGGCAGATGACAAAAAGCCAGATGCCTATCAGACCCAGCAACTCTTTCTACCTGACCAGGATGGCATTTTGCGTCCACGGGACAAGCTCCACTTCATCGATACGCCATGGATGCCAGTGGACAGAGATGTCCTGCTGTGCCATGAACAGCTGTCCCGAACCACAGCCCTGTGCTGTGGGGTGCCTACCACACGCCACCACGCACTGGAGAGGAGCCGACTGCTCACTGCAGATCTGAACCTCTGGGCACAGCCATTTGGTGCCCATGAAGACTTGACTATACGCCTGAAGAACATCTTGCATGCGTATCCAGCATCCGCTCGTGATATGGTGACAGAGTTGCTCCAGAATGCGGATGATGCTGGTGCGAGGCTTGTGCACTTTGTGTGGGACCGCCGGCACCACCCAGCGGATGCCACTTTCAGTGAGAATTGGAACTCCCTGCAGGGCCCTGCCCTCTGCATCTACAATGACAGGCCCTTCCAGCAGCAGGACATTGAAGGCATTCAGCGTCTGGGGGTGGGTGGCAAGCAAGGCCGGCAGGATGTCACAGGCAAATATGGCCTTGGCTTCAACACTGTCTTCCACTTTACTGACTGCCCAGCCTTCCTTACTGGAGACAGTACCCTGTGTGTTTTTGATCCCCATCTCTACTACGTGCCTGGAGCCACAACCGAGAGTCCTGGTGGGATGTTTGCTGTCACCCCCAGTTTCAAGAGAACCTTTCCAGATATTTATGGCACCTTCCTACCCTCCTTCTTCAACCTGAACGAGGGTGTCCTTTTCCGGCTGCCCCTCCGCACTGCAGCTGGGGCTGCCAACTCCAGCGTGTCTGACATGGTTGTGCGGGACCAAGACATCATAGCCATGGAGGAAGTACTGGCTGAGGAAGGTGAGAACTTGGTGCTCTTCCTCCGGCACCTCCACACCGTGGTCTTCTCTGAGATCACCCCAGATGGGGAGCAGGTGTCGGAGAGGCTGCGGGTGGCCACAGAGCTGGCAGATGGTGATGCAGAGCTGAGACGGGATTTTCAAGAGAGATTGAGCCAAGCCATGGATGGAAACAGCCCCACCTCTGTCTCCTATATCATGACAGTCAAAAACAGCAAGACCAGGGCCAGCACTGTGTGGAGGGTGATCTCCCAAATTGGGGTGCAGGAGGGGGCTGAGGAGTCGCCAGTGGGTGGGCAGCTGCCCTATGGGGCTGTGGCTGCCTGCCTGAAGCCATTGGGCTTGAACGAAGTCATGGGCAAAGCTTTCTGCACCCTCCCACTGCCGCTGACCACAGGGCTGCCTGTGCACATCAATGCCAACTTCTCTGTGGACGCAGCCAGACGCATTCTCCACCAGGACACAGGCAGCACAGAGGCAGCCTGGAATGGCTTCTTGCTCCAGCACTTGGTGGTTCCATTATACTGTGCCTTTCTCACCAGGCAGTGGAAAGCCCTGGGGCCTGAAGAGCTCCAGTTCAAGTCCCTGAAGGTCTGCCAGGAGCACCTGGCCTCCCACTACCTCTGTTTCTTCCCTGCTGTGACAAAGGTGCTACCTACCTTTCAGGACCTGGTGAGGGATATCTATAGGCACCTCAGTCATGCACGCCTGCCCCTGGTGCCTGTGTACCACGTGAAGCCCCCTGATAGCATGGTGACAATGACCTGGGCATGTCCAGGTGGTGGAGATGTGCTAACAGAGCCATACTTCCTCGAGGTGATGCCTAAGCCAGATCTCCAGGAGGTGCTGCAGCACCTGAATATGAACCTGGTGCCACCATTCGCCCACCTGTGGCAGATCTATGAGGGGTTCATTGAAGCGCATGTGGAGGCTGTTACCTTGCAGCCAGCCTCTCTCCGGCGCTTCCTCAAGGCCCTGGCACTCCCTGTGCCCTGCATGCTGGCTGAGACACCCCTGAGGACCCCGAAGAGCA